AAAACGCCAATAGAGAAATGAACTATGAGAATTGCCTGCCATAAAAATGCTTGAAGCTGTGTCATTATATTGAAACGTATAGAGTCCAGGAAGATTTTATAAAGGAGAAAATAATCTAAAGTGTCTTATGAAGTAAGAAAACTGTTCAATGGTGGTGGCTTCTTTTCAAGTAATGGAAATTTTACTGAGCTCCCATGACTCTGTCCTACATGTTGGGGCTACTGAGAAAGATGCACTTTGGAGTCTGCCCTCTGAAAGCTCTGTGCTATAATTTCCATTTTTAACGGTTTATGACCATTCAATAAATGAGCTTATATTTTCACCAAAATAGAGTTAGTGTATTTTTATTACATGAATGATCAGGTTATAAAATATTACAGCTCTTTGGAAAGCATGTAGAGACACTTTGGCAATTTTGTGGTGAGACACCAACCTGTTGAATTATCAAATTAAGTAGGAACACCATTGAAAAGGTGAATGTCAATGGTAAAGAACATGAGAAGGGGCTAGAAGGTGAATGTCAATGGTAAAGAACATGAGAAGGAGCTAGAAGACACCTAACAGCATAAAATAGACCATCCTTCCAAGTGTCTCTATATAAAGTTTGACACATAAAGTATACGTCCCTAGGAGTATTATCCCCGGCTGTGTAGCGGTTACACATTTTGCTGTGATCCACAAGGTCAGCAGTTCGAAACCAGCAGTAGATCTGAGGGGGAACGATTGGGCTTAAGAGTTACAGTCTTGGAGACTCCAGGGGCAGTTTCACCCCATCCTACAGGGCATCGCTGTGTTGGCAGGAACTCAATGGCAATGAGTTTGAGGAATTCATCCTCTGAGTTCCAAATCCACGACATATCTTTATTGCTAAACACATGTTTAATCTACTTGCACAGAACCGTAAGTATCCTTGCCTGTCTGAGTAGCATCTGCAAATGCTAGCACTTACCAAAAAATGACCATTATAAATCCTGAATAATATTCAGGAGATAAATCATGATGTAGCAAGAAGAATATCAAGTTTGTGGTCAGACAGGCCACATGCATTACTGGCTAGCTGCAGCTTTGACCTAGTTCCCTAAACTTCCTGAGCCTCAGTCTTTAACTTGTAGCCTATAGATAAACCCAATATTGTAGTACAGCCATGGGGATTTAAGATAACGTAAATATATCTTATTGCACATGCTGGGAGAGAATCTGCTTGTAGGAACTACTAGATATTTTAACTATTTTAATAACAAGTTGGTCATGCTTTATTTTTCTTAAAATGATTATACTTCCATTATCCCATTTAAAACTCTAAATAATTCCCTGAATTATAACTATCAATTCAGTCATCCCTATAAATAAAAAAAGAAGCTGAGAAATCAGTAAAAATTTGACTTAGCTAAGATTTGCATCCACATTTCCCAGCTCCAGGTACTGTCTACTCCTTAAGAGACTGGCTAGACCAGAGGAGGTACACTGGTACAGATAGGAACTGAAAATACAGGGAATCCAGGACGGATGAGCCCTATAGGACCAGTGGTGTGAGTGGCAAAACAGGGAGGGTAAAGGGAGAATGGGTAGGAAAGAGGGAACCGATTACATGGAACTGTGTGTGACCTCCTCCCTTGGGGACAGACAACCGAAAAGTGGATGAAGGGAGAAGTCGGACAGGGCAAGATATGACAAAATACCCATTTATAAACTATCAAGGGCTCATGTGGGAGGGGGGAGCGGGGAGGGAGGGGAAAAATGAGGACCTAATGTCGGGGGTTTAAAGGGAGAGAAAATGTTTTGAGAAATGATGTACAAATACGCTTTACACAATTGATGTGTGTATGGATTGGGATAACAGTTGTATGAGCCCCTAATAAAATGTTTAAAAAAAAAAAAAAGAGACTTGGAATAATGAAGCTTCAATATTTTCCTTTCCACTTAAAATCACCAGCTTGGCATTATGCAGAATACGAATGTTTGACATTTTAGCTTCCTCTTCTGTAAATTTGGGTTATTTCTTCAATTCTTTTAAGAACATAGAGTAGCTAATGCAAATGAAACAAGTGATGAAAGAAATGAAAGATCTCAGCAGCAGACAGGCCTCCAGAAGACAATATCCTATAATGAAATGTGTGAAACCTGCAGTCAGAAAGCTAAAGGGGTGTTTGGCATTTCTGAAACTGAAGGAACTGAAGACAAATTTCAAGGCTTGGGTTGCAAAATTGAAGGATTTTATGAGCAAAATGAAAAAAAAGAAGAAGGACACTGAAAACATCAAAAGGAGAAGGAAGGTATACACAGAGTCATTGTAGCAAAAAATTGACCCTCATTCACCCCTTTCAAGAGGTTGCAGAAGATCAAGAATGGATGGGATCAAAGGAAGAAGCCCAAGATTCATTGAAGGAATGAGTGACCAAAAACCAGGCCAGGAAGTGACAGAAACCTAGTTGAAATGTTTCAACTGAAATGAAACAAGCTGGAAGCTCTCACTCATCTATGCCAAGAACTGACTAGGAGAGGTCCATATATGTGTTTATTCCAATAAAAGGTGATCCAATAAAATGTGGGAAGTATTGAATAATATCATTAATAACACATGTAAGTAAAACTTTGCTGCTTCTGTGAAGAAACTGGAGTATATGAAGAAGAATATGACTTTAGGATTGGAGGAAGAATTTGTAACGAACTAGAATATAGATAGCACAATCTAGCTTGTGGAAAGCAGAGGTCTGGAAGCATTTATTGATGAGCAATAAAGACTACTGCCTACAGTATAAATTCCACCTCAACATTAAGAAAACAAAAAGCCTTACAACTAGACCAATGGACACAATGCTCATGAGACAGTATTAAAATTTTTTAAATTTCATTTTCTTTGGATATATAATCAATGTTCTTAGAAGCAGCAGTCAAGACAATTGATGTATTCCCCTGGGCAAGCCTATTACAAAAGTAATCATTTAAATACTAAAAAGCAACGATGTTACCTGCAGTACTAAGGTACACGTGGCCCAAGCCATCCTATTTTCAATAACTTCATATTCATGTGAAAGCTGGAAAATGAATAAGGAATACCACACAACAGCAGTTCTCAACATGTGGGTCGTGACCCCTTTGGGGGTCGAATGACCCTTGCACAGGGGTTACCCGATTCATAATAGTAGCAAAATTACAGTTATGAAGTAGCAAGAAAATAATTTTATGGCTGGGGGACTGTATGAAAGGGTCATGGCACTAGGAAGGGTGAGAACTACTGCCATAGAGCAATCGATGCAGTCGAATTCTATTAGCAAAGACTATTTGATAAACCAGAAACTGCTAGACAAACAGATACATCCGTCTTGAATGAAGCTCATCCAGAAGGCTCCACTGAAATGCGAATGGCAAGACTTTGTCTCACAGATTTGGGCATGCTATCAAGAGGAACCAGTCCCTAGAGAATGACCTTATGCTTCGTAAATTAAGGGTCAGTGAAAAAAAAAAAAGAGTAAAAGAATCTCAATGAGCAGGATTGACATGGTGCTATACCAATGGGGTTGAACCTGGCAGCGAGGATGAAGGCAACACAGGACCAGACGGAGGTTCTGTTCTGTCGTATGTAGGGTCTCTGTGAATCTAAGCTACAGTAAGGGCATCCAACAACTTCAACCACAGTCCTTCCCCATCGTGTATACACTTTGGGAAGGAATCCTGGTGGCACGTGTTTTAAGTGCTAGGCTGCTAAGCGAAAGGCTGGCAATTCAAAGCCACCCAGTGGGTCTATGAGAGAAAGACCTGCCAATCCGCATCTGTAAAGATTCGAGCCCAGAAAACCCTCCTGGGCAGTTCTATTCTGTCATGTGAGGTCAGAACAGAGTCAAACATCAAGTCAACAGCTCCCAGTAACCATGAGCACATGCTCATTGAGAGACAGTGTGGTGTTGTTGCCAGAGGCTTGGTTGTTGGGGCTGGAATCATGGATCTGAATCTCGGCTCTGCCATCTTAAGTTTGGTGACTTTAGGTGAAATATCAAATCTCTCCACAACTCGTTTGATTCACCTTTACCACGGGGTTAATGAATCATACATCAGAGGGGTTTTCAGAGGAATACATGTCCATAAAACAGCACGGGCACCGAGAGTAGCCTTCACATGACTGCTTTTACTAAAAGTTTCCCTAAAATACTGATATAAATTCAGTCACTCAAAGAGAGCTATTTTAACTGGTAAGACAATAGAGGAGACATCCTTCATCAATTAAGTAGGAGTCTTTCCCTTGAGGGATCATGGCCCCATCACATTGCTAAAGCTTGTGAACAGACAGACTCACTCCTCTGGCCCTGCTTGAAAGAACAGTACTCATTACACCACATGTACCTGAGCATAGCGCTTACCTGTCCAGTAATATATGCATGCATGTCAATATGAATTCTTAACTCCTTGTCTAATTTACACATCTGCTTAGGCATCAAAAAGTACAGCGAAACATCCTTGCAGAAGCACTTTACACTGAGAAATGCATTCTGGTAGGGAAAATTATCAAATCCCCCCACACTGTATACACCAAGCCTAAATAATTCAGAACAATGTTGAAAATGAGAGGGCTCACTAAAAAATTTTAAACATAGCCAATTCATATTCAGCCACACTGGAAAGTAATGATAAAAACTGTACTTGGGCGTCTTGAGCCCCGTCAAACAATGCAGGTCATCTCAAAGCCATTGGCAGATAGTTGGCAAATTGCTTACAGGGATTATGAAAAAAAAAAGCCCGTGTTTCTGTATCATGAACTTTTAGAACATATTAGAAAGTTATTCATGCCCAAATTCTTGTTAAATATGATCACAGTGTTTATTATTAATGTATGTGTAAAGTTTATTTATAGCCCCCATGCTTCCTTTTTTTGTTACTTTGTAGAAATTTATTTCAAGCATTCTTTAACGGAGAGAGAAAAGTATGTGACCGCTTTCTAGCGCACTAAAGACATGCGCTTTCCTTCCGTTTTCCCTCGTTGGTATTCACTCTTTCTTTTTTGCCAGGTGGCGTGCATGCCGTGGCTTCACGGAGACCACACAATGCTTGAGATGATCGAGAAAAAGCGTTGCTTGTGCAAGGAAATAAAGGCTAGACAGAAAACGGAAAAGGGCCTCTGCAAACAGGAGAGCATGCCCATCCTACCCAGCTGGAAGAAGAACCCAGGTGCAAAGAAGTACAGCCCTCCCCCCTACTCCAAACAACAAACTGTGTTTTGGGACACCGCCATCTGATCCAGGACCCAGCAGGGAACTAACTCCATGAGCACATCGCTTAACACGCACAGGAAGGTCATCTTCAGTCCTGTCGATTTCGCTGTGCCATCTTTCTCTGCCAGCGCTGCCCTGCAGAGCCCACGGGCACTGTGCCTACTCGTAGCAAGTTCAAGATCAATGTCTATTTCCTTGCAATGAAGGCACCCTTATTTATTCCAGATTATTTTGAATCCAGAAGATATTAACCTGTAGATATTTTAATCGCATTTATGGGTGACATCTGAAATGATACACATATATGAACTACAGAAATATCAAGAGTTTTACTATATAATATAATTTCGGTATTAACTGATTTGTTAGCTCTTTTATATGTCATTCCCTGATGCCTTTTATTATTATTTATGAGATTTTTTTTTTTGTATTGGACATGTGTGGTTTTTTTTTTGCCTGCATTTGACTTCTCTACAAGAGTTCACAAGTATAAATCATGTTCAACCATGTGATATTTGAATTAACCTGGTGCTAGTAATGTATGAGTTGAATATCAGATTCATTCAGAGCATCTCTTGATTTTGGAGTTTTTTAAGGGTTTAACAGGAAATGAATGCAAATGAGATGCATAACGTGGACATCCACATGGCATTGACACCTGTATTTCAACATCATTGGATTTTTAAGAATATCCCTTCTATCTGCTCTTATTTATACTAAGTGGTGTGTAGGAAGAGTCCAGAGAAAGCTTTTAGGCCATACTGGGACAACCCAGCAGGAAACATTTCCTTTATAAAAAAATGGAGGGGGGAAGACAGGTGTTTTTGCGTTATTGGCATGATTGGAGGAGACCAGGGTTCACTGTGACAATGGGACAAACAAGGAGTCAGAGGTTACAGAGCATGGCTGCTTTCAGGAAGGTGGGGACAGAGCCATTGCTATCACTGCAGTCACTATCGTGAGTGACTTTTTATGTCTGTGTTTGTTTGCCCCTTCCTGAAAGCTGAGGAACACACAGTCAAGCCAATAGGTTTATATATTTTAATACACTACATGCAAATCTTTCTCAAAATTTAGGACCACTCACGGAAGGGCAGTTTTTGTTAATTGTTCAAACCGGTTGTCACCGCTGTTTGGGGTCATAATCTTCTGTGCATGACCATCAGACTCATGTGCATTGACCATGGAACCATGACCAAAGAGTTATGACCGCTTCATTTCTTTCATTTTGCTTCAAAGAAGAAACAGGAAATGCAGGGGGTAGGGAATAGGGTGGAAATGATTTCAGGTGGTGGTGGGATGAATTTAAGTTAAAAAAAATCATATATATATCTTTTAATAGTAACTTGCTAGTTGAATATTAATATTGCCATGAGAGAGTTAAAGGGAAACTATCACCTATATTTTGTATATTGAAATGACTATTTATGCTTCCTACTATTGACAGTATGTGGTTCCTCTTGAACAATCCTTTTCGTATTCTATTTCCGAAAGAACAGGTATGTGTTTGAAGTTCTTGTCATGGTGGTTTTCCTTGTAAGGGTATTAGTACAGTGCTGCTCAATAAGACCAAATATCACAGAATTTAGGAGATTTTTGTAATCTATATTGTTAAAAAGAGAATCTAGTAATGCTTTATCAGTAATAGTTCCTTCCAAGCCTTTGAAATGTTATAAAATAGTGTTTAATATTTTATAGTTAATGTCTATTTTGATGTCCAATTAGGAGGGAAAAGGTAAATTGGGAGCATGTGTATTTGTTGTGTGTGTGTGTGCGTGCGTGCGTGCGTGCGTGCGTGCGTGTGTGTGTGTGTGCGCGCGCGCACATGTGGACACAAACGTGAATGAGTACACAGTGGGAGAATTATAAACATGAAACACTGAAATGTTAGGTTCTGCTTCATGGAGGGGGTGAAAAAGGAGCAGCAGAAGCAGGGTCACAAGTACAGGGAATCAGGGCAGGATCTTAAGCAGCTCAAACGTATCCTGCCTCCAATGCTTCACCAGTAATAGATGATGTTTCAAATCCAAGAACTTATGGCGCACACATTTCAAAGCAGTGAAACTGTGTTAAGAGTGACTCAAAATTAAAATAAAATGTGTTTCTATCCCAAGAAATTATCTTGATTTAAGTCATGAAGACCACAGCTATTAAGTCAATCAATCAAACAGAAGGCAAGAAGTTTTTGCATCTTTTGTTTTAAGTTTGGTACATGCATATTCAAGCTTAAGATGCATCCTTAGGTCACAATTCTCTATGAGAAGACGCAGATGTGCTTTGTCAGATGTTGATCATTCCCATGTATCTGGGGATTTAAAAAAGGGTATATTGACCACTTGTTGAAAGGACAGAGAAGTACTAAATCGCTTTATGCGGTATCCACACATTTCCATTGGTTTTGCCCAATTTGTACCATGGCCAGGTTCACGAGCTGCTTTTGCAGACATGCTACTTCATGCAGCAGAACTCGTTTGAAATCTGACCTCAGGTAGCCATTTCATGTCATTGCCCCAAACCCCACCATCCCTGGAAAGACAATGAAAGATCCAGAAAATCGTTGTTATTTGACTCCAGAAATGTTACTCTGCGTCTCCATCTCCATCCATTGAGACTTAGTCTATGTGGCAATACCCATTCTATCATTGCTGTCATCTGTGCTCATAGTTTCTCCACGTGGAGAAGAGAGATCTACGGACAGAGAGCTACAGAAGCTGGCTCTCGGCCAGCAGACAATCAGAGCACTTCAGTGTAGGAATTTGGTTAATTGATAAGAAGATTCACTTAAGAGCTGGAAGAGACTGAGGGGTGATAAAGCTAATAATGTAGCCATCCCAAGAACAAACCATATCACAGCATGAGCAGCGGGGCTCATACCTACCAAAAATAATGTTTTCACAGCAAAGTTTATAGACACCGAACCAAGGTGCTTAGTCAGGGGGAAAACTCTTTCTAGGAGAAGAATTGAACTTCTTTAGAACTCATGAAAGAGTGAAGCTCAATCCTGGGACAGTTCCACTGTGTCCTGTGGGGTTGGTATGTTTCCTGCTCAGTGACCCACAACAACCGTCTGTGATAAGTGACAGCTCACCTTTGCAATGTAACAGAGTGGACTCGCAACCCCAACACAGAAGCCAGTTACCTCCGAGACAGAATGTTAGCCTTTTAACTAAACACTGGGCCCTTTCCCCGATGTTTACACTACTGTAGCAAGTTTGGAGTAAATAGCGCTGTGTTTAAGTGCTAACCAAGGATAATGCTCATCCACATGAAATAGTCGGGTAAGTAAAATAAAGTATTAAGTATAGAAAACACACAGTTTTAAAATATGCACCCAATCAAACACTTAGCAGTTCTCCTTTGCAATGTTACTTTGAAAAACCATGACATGACACAGGGACTCAGATTGAGATCCCCACATAATAGTTCCTTTGAATTCTGCTAGGGAGTTGAGGGACCATTTTCCTACTGGGTTTTGCCTAACTCAGCCCTTGTGGTGTAGTGGTTACGCATTGGACTGTGAACCACATGGTTGGCAGTTTGAAACCACCATTAGCACCTCAGGAAAAGACTGGCCTTTCTACTCCAGTAAACAGTGACAGGCTCAGAAGTAAGTCCACAGGGAGTCACTGTGAGTCAACACTGACTGAATGGGAGTGTTTGAAGCTGGTTTGTTTGCATTAACATACTGAGTTTGTCTTGCTTCTTATGAGCTACTCTATGAGCTAGGAAATCAAACTAACCAATTCTATTGGGCTATTGTTTGAAGTGACTAGTAAGATATTAAAGCAATGAGGAATACTACTTTGACTACTGAAATGTAAAATAAATCAGTTCCCTGAAATCACGAAGAGTCTGTAAGTGAATTCAAATTAGTCCTGAAGTAGAGAAAATGTGTGAGATGTCAGCAGAAGGGTCAGTGGTAGCACCATGGTCATGGCGCTCAGCTGCTGACCTGAGGACCAGCAGTTCCGACCTGCCAGGGACTCCGCAGGAGAACAGACTCTGCAGTCCACTCCCTAAAAGCTCACAGCGAGAAAACGTCCCGGGACAGCTCTATGTGCTATGACACAACAGCAATGTGGGAAGAGATAGTTCACCTTGCAAAGTAATAGAAATAGAATAGAACAGCACCCAGCAAGCCTTTGCTTCCTGAACTTACATTGAAATGGAGAAAGATGGAACCCATTGTTCCTACATTAACCCACTATAGCTTCTCTCCTACATGGGGAAACAGATAGCTAAACGTAGAAGGTTAACACTTTATTACTTAATTACTCATTCAACAATGGATTATTTAAAATTTTTGAAGCACCGGGCACTAAACAATGGAAAAAAAAAAGATGTGGCCTCTGCCCTCAAGGAGCTAAAGTATGCAATCATTAAGATTTCAAACAAAGCTACTTGTCTTTGAGAAAATGCACAATTCCACTTGCTTGATATCTCCTCTTATGTCTCTCTCTATACATGATGTTCTCTTGTTTTTAAAATCAAGTGTATAGTCAAAATAACATAAAAAACATATTCCAGTTCATGTCTAGGTATAAAACACATTTATGTGTAAGCCTCTATGTATGTACACATGCAATATGTACTGCTTCCTATGTGAATCAGTAAAAGAGTAACATGTTTTGAACCATGTTGGACTTGAACATTATGGCCGGGGTTTGGAATGACTTTAAGCCCTTTGATATTTGGGTCATTAACATCCTAGAAAATGGTGTATAATGTGGCAAGAGTCTGGTTCAATTCCCTTTACATGGTATAAAGTTTTAAATGTAAGGGGAAATTTGCTTAAAGGAATACAGTTGGGGTTTATCTCCACCAAATATACATAACAATTCTTTGAGATGTTCCCAAATGTGACTGGGTTTGCCTACCCTTCCAGCATCCCCATTTACACATGTGTACACCTACATACAGTATACATACTGTATATAATATATAAGAAAATGTTTAGATGCACTTCTTTTGTTTGGAACTCCTTAAGTTACCATTTCTAGTGTAGCAATTTGTGTAAAGTGCACTGTGATCATGAACACAAGACAACACAAAGCACAGTAAAGTCACAGGTCTTGTTATCTTGCACTAAAGATGTGTTTACGTATTTAGCAATTGTATGTTTACTTTCTTGCTCTTTTCCACAAATTGAGAAAAATAGCTATTGAGAAAATGATATAAAATATTACTTTTTTTAGTGGCTAATGACACTGCATTTAAAAAGACAGGGTTTTTAAAAGAAACCATTTCACATCCATTCCAGTATCATATGCTTAC